AATTATTGTTTTAAAAACGATTATCGAAAATGTTAGTATCAGATTCATACGGTCCAAAAAATATGTACTTATTAATAAATGTATTAAATTTGACATTCGGCATATTGCCGACTAAGTTAAATTTACAGCAATAAGTTAAAAAAAAAAAAAACATTATTTCAAACAACATTCAATAATGTCCATAATTTTGGTCCTCAGAATTTTTGTTTTTGTAAATTTTAAATTATTTTTGTTTAAAACATGTTCATTGAAATTATTATTTATTTTTTTGTTATGTTGAAATTAATTTTTCGATTTTTTAAAAAAATTGTGTATAAAGTTAAAAGTGTTTTGAGTTATAAATTTGTTCGTCGTTGGAGATACCGTTTATTTCTTGAAATTTGAAAGTTATTTTTATTTTGAGGATTGTCCCTTTAAGTGTATAACTGTTACACTCATGGCAACTAAACATAAAGATTAAATAAATAAAAAAAAATTAAGCCTCCGAGTGTACTATGCAATTTTAATACGGTAGGTAATATTATGAAATTCGAAATACCTAATTCGCATTGCCGTTGACGCATCCGGTAAGTCAACAACCGTGTTGCGAATTAAATTCACAGACGAAATTATTGCGTGAATAACAAACATAAAAAAAATAAAAAAAAAAAAATAAAGTATTTAGGGTTAAGTATATTCATTAAGTTATTGATAAATTTAACAATAATATTTTTGTTTTATAAGTATATAGATATTTAGCATATAATATAAGTTTAAATGTAATTTATTGTCGCCTAGTCGACCACTCCCCACCCCTCCCCCAGTAGTATAACCATCCATTTTGTATCCGTGCGACTGAATTTTTTTTTTGGTAAATTTGTCTCCTTGAAATTCTGTGATACATGTGTTAGTACATGTCAGCGGTTAATAGTCACTATAATGTTGTGTACCGTTTGAAAAAAAAATGTTCTTTAAAACGATACATTTCAAATTTTTATTTTAAATCTAAAAAAGAAATTTAAAGAATGTTTATTTTTTTACCTTGACTTAGGTACATATTTTTAAAAGAAAAAAGAAAAGAGTTATTTTTGTTTTTATTATTTTCATATTTTATTTATTTGTTTTTTTTTTTTTTAAATATCTTCTATAATAAAATTGACGATTTATTTCGTTCTATTTTAATTGGCCTATGGTTATAACATTATAATATAGTAGATATAAAAAAGTTTATATACATTTTATAATGTGATTTTTTCGTTATTCATCTAAATTTTTATGATTTTGACAACATTAGATAATATAGTTGTAATAATAATATGTTTGCGAATGTTACGTGTGTGTGTGCGTGTATTTAGACTGGCTGGATTGATAAAAATATGACATTCGTCAATATTTCGAATATTTTACTCGATCGAAAAACATCATTTCCCGCGACGATCGACGATAATAATTAGCAACAAATGGTAATGTTAATAAGACATTTTCTCAAATTCGGTTCCCTCCTTCAACTCGGTTGGGGCTTGTTCACGAATATCGACTTTCTCCTAACACCATAAACTATGGACAACGATTTTTATTTCATTTTGTGGCTTTTTCGTATCGTGTCAGCTTTTTAGAATTGTCGTGAGCGTACAACCACCCCCGGTCACACCGATGTCTTCTACCACGACGACCACCACCATGGTTCGCATAAACATATTATAAAATTACGAAAACGCTTTTGTTTTTATTTCTCCACGACTATCTCATCCCTCCCCACGACGCATTAGTCAGGTCGATATTTTTGTTTAATTTATAAAATTTTGTATAATATAATTGATAATAAATATTATGTGGTGTATATAATTTAAGAATAATTTTTAAAAAATCAATAATTGTCCAACGATTGTGATTATTGTTTTAATAATAATATTCCATTAATAATGCTCCATTAATCCCAAAGATATTGTAGTAAAACCGCAGAGACCGTGCCTCGATGCTCGTTTCATTACGGTACTAAAAATAATAAAAAGATAAAAATATGTTAGGTTTATATAGCTTTTTTTTGTTTTGTTCTGTTCTCTTTCTCTTTCTCGTCGTGAGTTATATAAATTGTAGTTTTTTTTTTGTTTTTTATTATTATTTTTATTTTCGATAAATATATAACATGTATATGATGCAATTGAATTATATGTAAATACGGTTTCGAAAGAAAAATGTTTAAACAAATTTGGACGATGCCATTGTAATAGTAATGCCTCTTTTAATAATCGTAGTAATGCAGAAGTAATTCAATCCTAATTTGACTGTTTTTCACCCAAAGTATAGCTTATTATTATTGTTTGTTTTTGTTAACTTGCAATTTTTAGAAAATTGTCTTTACTTCGTGCGAAAAGCGATTTTCTTAGAGAATTTCTGGATTAACTATGAAATGAAATTGTACATACATACGACTGTTCAAATTTTACAGGGGTATTTTTGTATTCTGTCCCATAAAAAAAAAATAATAAAAATGTAATAATAAGACTTGGTTTCGCCTAAGCGCCTTTGTCTGAATAAAACGTATGAAGTTTTAAATGTGATATTTAGCACATCGGTGTCTTCCCAAGACGCTATTTGCGCATGATTATTTGTGCTAAAGACAAAATGAAAATATCGTTACAAAAGTAAATATTTTTCCGCGAGTTCCGGACTTTCTCACGATAGATTTATTACGTGCCTACTAGTTTTTCCGCTCACACGATATAACGTAGAGGTACGACCACAGTAGATCGATATGACATTAAATTGAAGATAAAATCGAATAGTTAATAATACAAATAAAAATAAATGTGTCACAAAATCTTGGTATGTAAACGTTTCCGGTTCACGTACGATATATACTACATACGTATATTATAATAATATATTATTGTATGAAACCTGTTGCGTTGTTCGGCATTTCTAAACAGTGGCCGCACATCAAATTTATATATTCTGCGTATGTAGATTCTTTTCTGTTTATTAATTGAATAACTTTTTTTTTCAACGTCTCTTGGCCGACGGCATAGAATTGTTATTATCATAATATGTGTACCGAGACGTAACGTCGATAATACCACCTCGGCGTATAATATTATAAATTATAATGTACGTATGTGTATATGTGTGTACAACATTTTAACAAAATAATAATATAATATAACATAACATAGTTCGTATTACCTACGTTTAATAATAATATAATTACATTTCGAACGTTATAATATGTAACGACTTATTTTTAGTGTGTAAGTTTTAAGTGTTATTATTATGATAATGATAATGATATTATGTTTACATTAATTAAAAGTCTAATATTAAATTCATTTTTTTTCTGCAGCGTACTGCGCGTACGCTGCTCACGATTAGCCTAAATATTATAATAATATTAAGAGATAAATAAAAATTAATAAAAAACGACGATTGTTCGAATGTCGTTTTCCCAAAGTTGTCTTAAACATGGCTTGTCATTATTTTTGTTTCCGAAAAAAAAAAACAATTTAGCTTTAGCATGTTAAGGTTTTTTTTTTTGCTTTTAAGCGTACGTCTTAATTTAAATTTAAGTTTAGTGATAACGATAATAGTTTCAATAAACAAAAAAACCTGTATTGAAATAAAAGTTAAAAAGAAAAAATTAATATTAATATAATGTCGAAAGGAGAAATAATAAGTAATATAGTACATAATAATATAATATATATTAAGTATGTGCGAACAAGATGTTTGTACGTTGTGATTGAGACTGCTGGTCCCCCTCCCTAAAATCGGTGGGTAAAAAGTTGCGTTAAAAGATAATAATAATAATTATAGTGAAAACATAAAAATAATGTGAAAAAAACAAGAGTCGCCCATAACATCTGGTACTCTCTGCTTAACTCATTTATATCACCCGGTGTCTTGTATTATTAATTGTGACTGATCATTGTTATGTAGAAGGCCTTAGTTATTAAGTCTTGCCGTAATATTTATGTGTATAGTTTAATAATTTCTCCCTGTATGATTTTTTTTCTCCTTTCTGATTTCGCCGAGTTAAAAAATTGATTATTATGAATTATTATTGATATTATTTAATATTATACATATTATTTAATTTTTTCTTTTATCTAATTTATTTATTTATTAAACTATTACATTTTTTTTTTGTATATTATTGAACAATTCTATTTAATATTATGTCTCATTTAAACGTAGGTCTCGTTTGTTCATTTTTTTTTTTTGTTTTGTTTGTATTGGGTTTGATAAATTTTGGCGTTGTTGCATTTTAAGGATAGGTTATATTATAATTATTAAGTTTTTTTTCATAGACTAAGACTACTATTTGCGTGATTGTGAAAATAAAATAAAAGCAACAAAAAAATTAATAAAAACTAAAGTTATTACGAAATTGGTTATGTGTTTTTTTTTCTGACGTGTGTTTGACGATAACAATTAAACTATTATTATAAATATCCACCTGATATTATATTGTTTTACATATTTCCTCAAGGTACATCGCTTGGAAAATGTTATTAATAATAACAGAAAGGTTATATTATTTGAAACTCCAACGTGTTTCTTAACAGGAAGGTGTCAAGCTTGGAGGGACAAAATCCCAAACGAATTTCCATCCTTTCTCTGGAACCTTGAAATGTATTTATAATTTTTATTATACACCTATCAACAAATATTGTGTTCATATTCTCAACGAAAGTCGGATACAAATAAAAACCATAGAGTATACCTACTGCAGAAACAACATTTTTGATTAAAAATATATAATTGATCTTGAATTAGACGAATGCGGATTTCGTAAGTTTAATATAGTTTAGCTTATTAAATTACTTACTAGTATAACACCACATACAAATAGAAGAAATTGACTTGGTAAGAAATGTAACTTATTATAGGTACCTACAACAATTATTATTTTTATTATTAAATATTCTTCGGCCATCAGGGCTGCATGATGGAGATAACACATTGTGTAGAGCTTAACATATTATGTAGATGCTTTCCGTTCAAGAAAAAATAATCCTGGCACCGTGCACGTTTCATTTTCAAACGTTTATTGACTGACGTTTATTGACTGACCTTATTATTGCAGTGTATTTCAAACTATTATTTAGATAGGTAACATGCACCAAATAATATAATACCCCAGTTTGTTTGATTGCAATAATTTTGGCAAATTATGTGTTCCATTATTGATATGTTTGACTGTTGTTTCAAACTGAACGGTATAAATACTTACTAGACTTTTTCGAAAGACATAAGACTGGACTTTTTTTCACACTTGAAACAATTCAATGACATTTCTGCAGATGGAGTTTGAAAAAAAGTACGGTCTTTACTTTCCCCAGTCCTACAGGATCAGAAACATGGATCGCTTGTATTTGGAGATGGGTAGGCCTACTCTAAAATAAAACAATGTAAGTGCATATACTTGCGGCTTTGAAAAGTTCAATACACAAGTATCAATAATTTGGGTTGTATTTGACATTTATTATATAATTTACGTTAGCACAGATCACGATGATTTATATATTATAGACACATGTCAAAAACATATTATGATATTCATATTATTGAGGTAGTGGCTCGAAGCAGAAAAATGTTATACACAGAGTGATTCACGAGCATATTTTTATGTCATTTAAGAAGTGTCTTGATTGAACAGAAACACGGTTCTATTGTTTTACAAAGTTATGTAGTTACTATGTATAATATTATGCTATAAAATGCACAATAAGAAAAGTCTGAATCGCCACAGGAATCTCCTAAAATATTATAAAAATTGTAAGCGCCTATTTGAAAATGACCCGCCGTGACGGTCTATGCGTGCAGTGAATTAAATATTCCAAAAATCATAGTTTCGATATATTCGTATTTAACGGTGAAATAACGAGTATGGAGCCTGGTAAATCACCCCGCGTATATAATATCATCGGAATGTGCGTCAGGTGCGTTGTGTGGACTGTTACAGTGTTCGATTCGCAGGCGCGTCGTCGGCACAACCTCATCGGACGGCCATCGCGTCGTTACTGACGTCTGGTGGAGGCGGCGTAGGCCTTCGCCTTGGTGGCCGCGGTCGGCTGTACCGCGGCGCGCAGCCGGCACTGTTGCTGCGGCCACTGCAGCCGGGCGGCCGCGGCGGCCATCCGCTTGTGGTGGACGCGCGCGTGCTTGGACAGGTGGTCGGACCGCGAAAACCGCTTGTCGCACACGTCGCACCCGTACGGCTTGACGCCCGAGTGCGACCGACAGTGCCGGGACAGCTCGTCGGATCGGGAAAAACGCCATGTGCAGCCCGGCCACATGCACCCGTAAGGCTTCTCGCCCGAATGCCTCCGCATGTGCACCTGTGGACGAGAAAACGCAGTCGTTGTAATACGACAATAATCGTTATATTATTATTACGGCAGCTGGAATTCGGGAACAACCTGGTTTTTTTTTACAATTTAATGTCGGGTGTCGAAAACACCAGCTCGCCACTTAGATTTTAGATTTTGGGCTTCCGATAGTCTTAAAACAAATTATGTAAATTGTCGTCATAGTCATATGACATGACATAAAACCACGACACAAGTAAGTTATTACTTATTATTATTGCAATAGTAATTGGCCGCGGCCGATGATATTTTACTAATTAATTTAAACTACTTAGTATCTTAGTATTGGCCATAAATTCATAGGTATTAAAAAACTAAACTACCCAATTTAAGTTATTTAATCTATCGGTGGTTTCCATGTAACCCTCAACTTGACTAGGTAAGTAAAATTAAAAGGAGCTACCCATTTACTTTAAACTTTTTTAAAGAAAAAGCTTTTTCTGTCAGCTTAACTATACTCAGTTAAGCAATATCGGTATACATAGCCCTGACTTGAAGCTTACAATACAAAAAAATAAGAGACACACACATGCCAAGTTTATTGTAATTATACAAATGTGTGAATAATTGAAATGGCCTTACAAAATATAATAAATCAATAACAATAATATAATATTGATAATGTCAACTAAGGATTTTGGTGTTCCTCGGTGCAGGGACGTGCCTAAATTGCCTATACAGTACGCCGTGGTATGGTATAACACTTAAGGAGTCGGGACTGGAATGCCTAAGTGGTAGGATCTGTTATTTTTCAATCACTTCACTGTGTATTATTCTATTAATTATTATTCTTAATACTTAAAAGTTGAAAAATTATGATCAACATAACAAAAATGGTGCAACATTTTTACTAGAAAAACATAAAATTGTATTTTCTCCATAAATCTCATAATACTTACATGTGAATAATCGCAATAAAATTAAATTCGGTGAATGGTGGACCATAATCTGGGTAGGTACTTCCGAGTGACAATTAAAAAGTTTAGCGGGCTTCATTAGATTTCTGTATACGATTTTAAAGTGAACAAAAATAACAGATGTTGGGTAAGACATGAGCTGCACTACAACACGCGTGTTATTTTAATTAAAACTTAATTAATTTACTAAACTTCTTGAACTATAAGAGTTATTAACAGTAAACTTGAATGAACACCAAACTGTTTAGAAAAATAACATAAATATTACATTAATATGGTAAAACGTCTTTCGTTACAAACTGATTTTCCTTCATTTAGATCTTCTTTTATAAGGAGACTAAAATATTCGGAATAAAGCTATATTATAGGTTGATGTAATTTTCGGTTTTAAGGAGATTTTCGTCTAATAGAGTGTTCGTTATGAGGAGGTTTAACTGGATTTATTAGAATTCTTATGTGAGCTTAATATTATTGTGATAATATTATATATTTGTATACAGTACAAGAATTTAAAAATTGTAACAACGCCTAAGGACGGTCTTATCCTCGTGTAAGTGAATGTAGGCAAGGCTGAGTATTAACAAGTCGATAAGATTTTAAGTTACATGTTTCATTTTTAATAATAATTTATGTACATTATAATATGAAATATCAGCTGTACCTACCTGTGCATAAAAATTATATTAAAAAAAAACGATCAATTTATGTTGGTTTATATGTCAGTAATCGAAATCTCGTTTTATGGCAGAAATGAATATATGTCACTTTTTCAGTTTTGTATAGCGATAATAATATTTCATAAGAGTAGTTAAGTTAAAAACAATCCATGAACAAATGTCTTCCCCTTCGACTTGAAATAAGTTGACTGCCTTGCGATACACGACAAACGTTCAATTATTATTACACTTGATATTATTTACTTATACTTGCCAATTTCGTATTGAACATCATAATAATTTATGATACCTACTCAAAAATGTTCGAGATTATTTATTTATTTACATCTTGAGAATTTCCTATGCCAGAAACTCCTTATAAAATCTGTGTACCATTTATGATACACCACCAGGATTTATATACACACAGAGTGCATAATACAACATTATGATTGTCTAGGCGTTCGTGGCAAAATCAGTGAAATTTTTATGCTGCAGTCAACTTGTTAACGTCAATCGTATCATTTGCGAAGAAAAAACATTATTTTTGTTGTGTTCGACTATTACGCTTTCACATGATTTTGGCCGCAAAAAAACTATCGTACGTATCAACTTCGATTTATTTTGCGTTTCAACCGCACCCTGCAACTACTGGTACAGCATATCAGTCGCACTACAATTAATTTAGTGGACAATAATTTACCTTGAGGTGGGACGGTTTCAAGTAAGTCTTATCACAATTCGGATAGGTGCACTCCAACACCTGTTTAACGTCACTCGACCTGTCCTCCTGCCAAGGCCGTTGAATGTCCGGCAAATTCCCTTTGCTGTCGTCGTCTGCGGTTTCGCCTTCTTGGCCGTTGCATGGTAATAGCTCGTCGACGGTCAGCGACAGCAACGTGTCCAAACCGGGGTCATCCAAGTACATCTTTGGGTCGTCCCAAAACGTTTTGCTGGGGTCGACGATGCAGAACTATAGTGCACAAAGAAACAGAAACGTTTTAAAGGCGACAAATTCAGTCTGGTCAATTAATTCCGGTTGAGACCATCGATACGTATTCGGTCCATTATGATATTGCATGCTATTTTCAACAGTATTATGATGTAAAATTATTGTGATAATATACATAGGTACTAGATATTCTGAAAAAAGTCCAGGGTTATAAGAGTAGTTTAAAAGTGAAATTTGTTTTTAACTATTAAGAATATAACTAAATAGCCTAATATTGATAGTTGAAATAACTATATTGACTTTTTAACTTAAAAATAATCAATCGAGTAAAAATAAACAATTTTTGTTATTTTTGTACATTAGTTCCTGAAAACCTACCTATACGGTTTAAAATTAAAATAATCCCAAAGGTACTATGTATAATATAATTATATATTATAAAATATATACTATAGTTTCTGTTATATTTCTTCATAATATTATAGTTATTCACATTTCACATTAGTACTTTTATATTGTTACATGTATACGTATACTGTTTTACAGTGGATAAATCGTAACTGTTAATTGTACCTCAATCGTTTGATGATTAATTAATTATGACGTTTACACGCTTTGCGCACCTATCAACCTACCACAAACCCATCAGTATTGCATTTTTCTGCGACAACTTTAAAATGGATCAATGTTATCGAAATATGATGATTAATAATAGCACAAAATGGTAACAGTGAACAGTCGAGTGAGCGAACCGTGTGTACGATAAAATAATAATTATTATTATGAATTAGTATATACCTATAAAAAAACACATGTGGTTTATATTCGCCGTTTCGCGACGATTGTTATTTGCATATACATATTGTTTATTGGTGTATTAGCTTGACATAATTAAAACAATGTACACGCATACAATTAATATTGTATACAATTTATTGTTGGTATTTCGGACACGTCATAGCACAACGTCTCGTTAAGTTTCTAATAAATATTTATTGTGTCATTATTGAGAAGCATCGAAAGTCATATTACAATGATTAACAACTGATGAAGAACAGGAAATCGACAACAATTTATCGGAATTTGGAACCGTAATCGGTAAATATTGTCAACGACAAGACGATAATTATATTTAAATATTTATAAGTAATAATTTGTAGTAACTGAATAATCGTGTGAAATAAACGCATTTAAAAATGACTAGGGTACACAAACTTATCGAAATTAAAAAAAAAAAACAGTGAATCCGATTATAATGCTTAAGTTGAGTAGGCATCAAATTGATCGAGAACTTTAAATTAGCATTTTATAAGAAAACAAAAATCGTAATATCGATCGACACTTATATCATGCCTATTATATTAAATAGTTGTTTGGTAAAATTATTCTGAATTACGTAGTTACGAATAAAACGATTGTACTGTTTTTAACAATATTGCAGTTATGATCTTTTTCAACTTGATATAATATTCAAAACGTATGAGTGAAAAAACAAATTATCTATTGTACATCAATTAATGTAAATTAGATGAGTATAATCTTACTATACTAATAGAAGGTAAACTTAATATTTCTACCAAAAACTTTGATAAATTATATTTGTGGTAGTTGGTGGTGTTGTTACCATAAAAATGTCGAATGTCGATAACTGATAGAACAACATTTAAGTCTATATTTGATTAGGAAATTCAGAATGAAATAACATAGTAATAATAATAATAATAATAATAATAATAATGATTCTTTAATACAATGGCAATACATTTTATAATGATACAGCCACTTATATGAGGTATCTTATAGTTGAGTAAGTGGTTAGAGTCATTTTAATGTATATTATGTTAAATTTGAATTTAATAATAACTTAATAAATACGAACAATTATTATTAAAGGGGAAGACGGTCTATGTCTATCAATCAGTATAGTGGTATTTTAGCAACACAGTTTAAAATAAATAAGAGCTTACAATAATTCATCTAAATGTTTTGATACTACCATTGTGTATAGTAAAATATAATAATGTACCTACTTAAAACTTGGAAGTTCACACGAATAATAGTTTGAACTAATAACAACAATAGGGTATACCTAACTAAAATCGTTATTTTTCATTTCAACATCTAATTTTGCAAAAAAAATTGAAATTTTAACTTCAAAATTTAAATGTCTATAAAAAAGTCGTGCATTTGCGGATATCTTTAAATATTCTTAGATAGCTATAATAGCAACTTATAAAGAATCTCGACGTATTTAATTTTCAACCTCTGACCGACTGAATAATTTTATTGTTATCGACATTTGTGATAGAAAAAAAACAAAAAAAGAAAATTTTAAATGTATATAAATAAGTTGAGAATATTGTTTTAAAAAGAGCAAAAACATTTTGAAAACTATAAGTAGTATATGTATCTAGCTATACAAAATACCAAATGTAGGAATTAACTTGTCAAACTTTTTAACTTAACTGGTTAGTTATTTTTGTTTCTAACTTATTAGCTTCTTCAACTCAAATTGTTATAATTATAACTTGACTTCTTATAGTTAAATATCATTATCTTGCAGCTGAGTTAAGTTTATTTTCGTATCATGCGAAACTAACAGACAATACTGATTTGTTGACTAATATTTGATTTTCATCATTTATTTTCTTATAATATATTATAGGTAATTCATTATAATCTGATATTTGCCGTGCTAATAGCCTTGGTAAATGTCTGTGTAAATCCAAATGCTAGGGCATTTTATGACCTATAAGTATTTTATAAATAGATAAATATTGTATTTTACACATATAATATTTGATACTTGCATGAAAAATAATGGTTTTAACCATTTTTTTAAAAACTTTTCATCACAACGTAATATATTACTTTTCATTAATATCCTATACAATTTTTGAAATATTTAGACAAATCTTCAGATACTCATACCATGAATCTATTCTCTTCATTATAACTTATAAGGTACGTTGGAATCGATTAGTAAGATAATATTATACAAATATAATATAGGTACCATGCGATGTTTCTATCAATAATTAGTTCAATCTATGATATTACTTATAGAAAAATAAATAACCAATATTAATATAAATAATTCATAAAATATAAATAGGTTGACTTAACGTCTCTGCTCAGCATAAATTGTTTTTCATAATATGCAATGTATGGCTGTATTTAAATTGACATCAACTACGGTGACCTACTCAATAATGTCGACGAGTTACACTCGAAACGCTCTAGATATAGATAGGTAGGCACAGCAGAGTGCAATTTTCGGTTTTTTAGAAGTATTTTTGCCAGGTTTAAGTTAATTATGTTATTTTTGACAAATTCAATACCGTAATTATATTATATTATCATTGTACTTACGTCCAATGGTACCATTTTGGCGACGTCGTGACTCTATATGTACTGCAATGCCGTTGCCCGTCGTGTCGACACTCCACAGCGACAGATGACACGGTTCGGTAATCCAGTTACTGGTGACAAAATATGTATTTTTTTAAATTATCAACTCAACTATTAGAAAAGAAAATAAACACATACGCGTAGTTCCCGTGGGAGTTGCTCGTGCCATGTCTGATATTAGCACGGTTCAGATAAAAACAGATCGAGCGCAGCTTACCCATTGCACGTGTAGACCACATTACCGTCCTTATCTGTACTCTATTGGAGTCCTGCACGATAAACTGCACATGCATATGAAAGTACAAAATCTGTATGTGAAAGCCCAGAGGGTGAAGTTTTTCATCGTAAGCCTATTGACGTCACATGAGAAAAAAAAGAAAAACCATAGAGGAAAACCCTCGGAGTGTGTTCCACAAAACTATGGTGGTTTTATTAACAAACATAATTTATTAAAGTCGCAATGTAATTTTTGATCTTCAGATTCCTCAAGCTTCTTTTTTTTACACATTTTAGTAAACAAAATCAGTTTATTAATATTGTGTTCTAGATTTAGATTTTATTAAGAGCTTAATTTTACCAGGACGTTGTATAATTTGATAAATGCTTAGTCGTAATACCGAAACGTTCGATAGGGATGTACTTATATTTTTTAATTAAAGAAACCAAAATATGATTTGATTTGTCAACAAAGATATTATATTTTTTCTTAAAAATACTTGGCAACTAAAATACCATATTATTCAAAAAATACTACGATTTCATTATTCATTGAAAATTAATTCGATAACAACAAATAAAATAAATACTTAAAAAGAAAATAACGGTATGCGTTTATAGTATTTTCTTTTATTAGGAAATCTAAAAATTATAAGGTTATTATTACGATTTCAGAGACGATGAATAGATCATCGACTGATTACGTCATAATATGATCATCGATAAAACAAAATGTCTGTGTGTTAAGTTGCTGGAGTATTATTGTATAGTCTATGTTTAGCCCTGTCGCGCTGACAAATGACGATACCAAAATTGTTGATGAAGTGCATATTATACTTTAAACAAAGTATGCGTAGATATCTTACATTTTTGGATTATTTTAATTAATTATCCTGTAATATATAATGGACGGAGCCGACTGGATGTGGCCATATGGACTTCGGAATGATTGGACGTCAAAAATATATGTATAATAAATCAATCAATACAATTACAAGTAGTAAATATTGTATTATAATAAATAGGTAGTAATATAAATATTGTGTTGTAATAAATAGGTAGTCATTTTTTTGAATATTGAGCTTAAATTTTTGAATTTTTCTTACTGTTATTTTTATTAATTAATTTTTTTTTTTTTGAGCGTTTAATTATCCCAATGTCAAAGGCTTAGTCCATTTTCTCTCTATTCGCTAATATTTGAGGTAAATGATAAATTAACTGCACACCGTCGTTGTTGTGCCAAATAAAGTACCTATTAATGAACCTGCAGTGGCAGAAAAATATCACGAAATCAGACCACAGAACATCAGACCTGACCTAACCTTACCGTCTTGTCGATATACATAATAATCAACTTCGAAAAAAAACAGTTCCTACTGGTAAGACAGGATATTGTTTATTTGGCTGCTACCTCTAAAAAATGACATGTTCATATAATATTATTTATTATACTCAGACATGGTTAGTATCATGAATAAATTACTGCTAATACGGTGTTCCTAATACATTATAAGAACTCTGAATAATTACTGAATACTTTTTTTCGAAAATAATTTATAGTACCATTTATAATATTATTTAAAAGTATTTAATTCCTATAGAAAATATCTGCTTGCCATTATGATCATTTTTTTTTAGGAAAATATTAAAAATAATAATGTAACACACATTTTAAATTCACAGTATAATCATATGTAAGTATATTTTATTTTTACCCATTTTTATTTGTATTTGAAATACTTTTTCTTATAACTATTGGAGTATTTATTCAAAACACTCATCAAGTCTGATTATATTATATGTACCTATTACTTTTCAGTTATCCATTTTTACCGGAAAGGTGAATAGATCGATAGTCAGAAAGTTCTATTTTGTTTCTGCTTCAAATTATTTCGCCACGACTTCACACACTATACCACATTACCACACATCGACACATCCCAAACTAAATCACATCACTAAATACATACTATATAAATCTCAGATATCTATCGAAATTATAAAAAAAAAATTTATCTGCAGAAATCAGAGCACTTAATTTGAGGGATGCAAAGGTATGCAAAGGTGTGCCTTTGCATCCCATATTCCCATATAGAAACCTTCTGTATCTTTAATATGTTTAACTGCTCATATAACAACTTCTGAGGAACTTATTAAACTTTCAAGCTTTTTCACCTACGGACATTCTTTTATCTACATTCTAGAAACATTTTTAAAAAATAAAAATTTAAAATGTCTATAAACAGCTCGAACCTGGTCAAAATATTTTTGAAATGTTATCAGGTATAGAGAATGATAATATAAATATTTGATAAAAATATCTGCGGTAGTTATTTTTTGAATCACAACGAAATAAGAAAATCGTTTTATGAGAAATCGGGTGAATCAATTCATCGTCGTAAAAATTTAAATTTAAATGCTTATATCAATACATTTTTAGCATTTTAATATTTTATGTATCTATTTGTTTTAACCTTCTTGGTTTAACCTGCATTAGAGTGTTGGATAAAAAAACGATCAATTATTAAAATAGGTTACATTGAATAATAATATGTTCAAAACTTTAAAGTACCTATTTCAAGAACTACTCTGGTTATGGTCGGCTATTTTAAAATGTTTTCACATTTCATGAAAAATTCTGAAATGACAACTCTGGGTCAGGGGCATATTGCCATTTTACGTCATCGCGTAAAGTCATAATAATATTATTTACGATGAACAGAATTCCATCAAACTAACGATATTAAAAAAAATGTTCTTTATACATTAGCACAATATATTATATAGCTTTCTACAATCATTCAAAATCCAATTAGAAAAACCTTTTATAGTTCTCAAATCAAATACCACCAATGAGATGAGTTTCTAAGATGTTGCACATAATAAAACATACTATAATAATATATTATATAAACGATGTGAAAAAAACCCGAATCACCTTTGATAGTAAAACACATACTTTGTGACAGCGCAAAATCATGCGTAACGATGAGTTTCGATGTTATTTAACGAACCGCGGTGATGGAATTGTCATTTGTTTGAGAGTAGGTCGGCTATGGAACAATATGAATCTAAAATACAAACAATCAAAACCTTATATTCTTCTAGGTACACCTAACATTAAATATTATGTTGGATTTTTTCGTATGGTATGTGCGATTACCTTTGAAGTTTAATTAATATAAATTATTATTTGGTGTCTCACTGTAGATTTAATATTAAGATTCAATATATAGACATTCGAAGATAAAATATTATTATAGGTATATCTTCCGGTACATAACAACATTTAACAGTTAATAGAAACGTCAGAATTAAAATATTTAAAAAAAACCGTTGTTTTAATAGGTCGGACTTTCTCGCATTGACTATATTAATATGCGTATCAACTGCGTTATTATACTGTAGGGAGGTACAGCTTAATTTAGCTCAAGTTATTAAAAACTTTAATAATCATGTTTTAAAATTTACAGTAACAAAGTCACGACACATCAGCTAGGTACACCGTAGCAAAAATTTAAAAATATGATAATATGAATAACAACATCAATAGTACGCATAAGTAACATAGAATATATAGTTTTAATACTATTGCTGGCCGTGGATATAAGGGTACACAAAAATAATATAAACAAAAACGAATCCGATGTTTTGAGAATATTAATGTTATATTTGAATAATATCTAAAGTAAATTAATTATTCAAAACCCTTTTAAATCGTTGTAAATATAATTAAACATACATTAAAACGGTGCGATTGCATCTTGTGTTATTTCAATTTTCAATTAGGTGTACATTTATATATTTTACTACATACACTAAAAAAAAAAAACCGTATAAAAAATAATAATAATAATAATAATTAACAAACACAAAAAATAATAACTATGAAGAATCATATCTGCAGCCACACTAAACATATATATAATATATAATAATATCTATAAATATAATATTATGATCATCCCTTCCACAGTAATAAAATAATATGTTGTATGCAATAACAATCTTTACATAATAATTAATATATAACCGTAAGTGTAATATTATGCATTTACATATACAAAATAACAATCATAATAAGGTTGAGTGATATGAATATTAGGGTTTTTCGGAGCACATCACTCTGGTATTAACGATCCAATGATCGGTACTTTCGTGAACGAATTTGTGGTAGAGTCCAGCAAAAACTTGAAAGAATCAAACACACGCACGAACAGCCACAAGAGTAGAACCCCGAAAAACAGTTGAGTTGCCAAATTCAACCAATACAGCCTGCAAATAATTTATTATTATTATTATTATTGTTGTTATTATTATTATAGTTGCTGTATAGTGTAGGTAGCATAGGTCATCGCATCCCCTCGAATGCTTGTTTTACCAGAAATGAGACATTATATAGGATCTTAGTTTTTTTTTCGCCCAGTGAGTAAGCACAATAAAAGTCAATAAAAGTTGTTCTTCGAAAGATATTATCTAGTTGAGGTCGGCAGCAGTAATGAGGGAGGGATGACAAATTTTTTTAATTGTTTGCTTTTTAAAAAAAATCAATTTTTAAATGGCCTATTGTTGGCAAGTACCAAAAACAAAATGATTTGTGTATGTACTTAATTATGTGCCTATGCATAATATTATACAAACAAAAAGGTTAGGTTAGTTTACTTAAACTGTGCGAAATGTGTAATGTTTAAGAATAATCTGAGTATCATTCTCACGAATACTTTCTTATGTTTTCAGCAGATCTAGCCAATTCCTGTGCCGGAATCAAATATTTTATAAGGCCTATTCAAGGGATATATCGGTAAATTATCTATTGAGAGTGAAAACATTTTAACACCAAACGTTTAAACACCCTGCGCTCGAAAAATTGCACTCATTGTATTATATTTTATATCTTCAGATTAATTGTTCATTGTTTAATTATATTAAATTGTTCAGACGTTCAGTAATAACAGCAATCACATTATTGTTATAATATAGTTAACTCACCGGAAGTACTGTAGCGAGTATGTGAGAAATATTGCTTTTATATTACCTGTTTTTTTTAGAACTTTTCTAATTTAAACGAGATATGAATGTATACATTTCCTACATTAATATCTGCCATTTTCAATGTAGATATACAGCAGAAATAAAAAAATATTATTGTCACCCAATTTAATTAGTACCTGTACATATCCTAAATATAAATTATTATACATAATATTTAAATATGTGATGAGGATGAGTAGAAAATACTATAAACTGTTTGAACATAATAATACTATAGTTTCTTCACACATAGGAAGGTACCTATATCAAGAGTCAAGAATAATCGAAAACTAAAACTCAAAAGTTAATGAATCTGTTTCTCAGAAAAAATTGGCAGGAAATAATTACTAATGAAACACGTCGTGTGCGTAAAGATAGTCTAATCAAACAGAGCATAAATGAATAATGTTTTTAAAATCACTATAGAATATAATCTAAGTATAACGATCGACACGATTTGATAATAACCAGCCGTATAACTTATGACAGATTCAACCACAACGAACAAGGAAAAATGAATGTTTTTATTGCGTAAAATAGTCACGCTGATGGTAAATTTATAATTGTATTTTCAACCGCAATGGAAGTTGCATTATGTTTAGGGAAATAATTATGATCAGATTGCAACGTGTACATGATTTTTACTTTTTAACATCGTTAAGATTCGTAGAGAATTTAAATAATTAATAAAATGTACCTAAATGTTATAAATGCGATTTAAAGTAGACGAAAATGCAACCATTTGATTTTCGTAAGAGCATTTCATTTCACATTTTTAATGATTATCTTGTTTTTACAGCATTGGGTGGTATATTATACATTTTTTATAACACGACAAACCGTCCGTTAAATACATGATAATATGCATCGTACTATCGTAGTAATCTACCATTAAACTGCAGCATGTCTCCACGTTGCAATGTACGCTTATAGCCCTATTGCTAAGTGTATTAACTGCAATATATTTAATTTAAAAAACCTCATTATCACACAAACTAAATATTTATTTCTGCATAATTTTAAGTTGTTATAAAAAGCAACATTATTGAAAAAATTATTATTTTTTGCCATATTTTATCGGTACGATATTTTTACATTTTTGAATGATACTATACATTTTGAATTCCATATTCCGAAGCAGAATATTTTTCGAAGTAAATCGATGTAATAAAATCAAATTTTGAGAGAAACAAAAAGTATTTTAAGTCTGGGTGAGCGGAGTACTTGGCCAATATTATGCCACCCACCCAACTTCACTAATTTAAACTTGAAATACTCATGAAAAAAATTCCTATTCAAAGAAAGAAATTGATGATGTATTTTGTCATTAAAAAAAGTTTAAAAAACAATAGGTAACGATAAAAATAGCTAAAAATATTTTCTTAAACGTTAATGGCTTTTTGAAATAATTATTATTCTTTGCAAAAATAATTACCAGGCATTTAAACATTGGTGTGTACTATAACTCACAGTTTTAGATGAAATCTAGCCCGGTCCAGATTTGCAAGAGGCTCTTTCATGCAATATTGACGAGCACCCAGCAAAACTTGGATCATGTACTTTTCAATGTCAACTTCGGTGTTCTGGATGTAAAATTTGCGTAGGTCCTCTTCGTTCAAATTGTTTATCAGTGCTTTAGTGTTTTCGATTTTGAAGTTCCAACTGCGCATTGTAAAATATTGTAACACTTCCATACCGACAGCTATTCTCTTCTGAACTCGGACCATGCTATAATAAATGCAATACACAATACGATGTCAATGCGATGTATACTGATTAAGCACAAGTATATTGCAGTTGTAACTAAGAAGTGGTGATAAATGGGTAGGAATTGGAATTCAAACCAACCCAGAATTCATATTTTTTTTGTCGATTTAGAACCAGGTACTATTAAATTACGTGTGATTTAAAAAGAAATTTCATCTATTGACATACTTTAAATAAATTAAAAAGTTGTTACATTTTTTCATGGTATTATAAGCAGTAAGTTATTTGCTCAACAATAACATTAGATCAACCCTAATAAAAAGTGTTCAGTCAATCCCTGGTACTTTTGACTAACACCCATAATATGCGTATGTTTGTTCGGCGATAAAGCAATATTGTATTAAGACAGGCGTGACTCTAGCGGGGGGACTATGGGCTATGGCCCCCCACTCTACGTCGTACTTCTAAACGGTTATTTATTGTTAAAAACAAAATTACAAAAAAAACGTATTATAACGTCGAAAGTTTTCTAAAAATTATGACTTAGCTCCCGATTAAAGGAATTGGATCCCTGCTGAGTAGATGTATTAATATAATTGTTAGATCAAACTAGAAAATAGACATTGTGCGTTTTATTTTACACACAGTTCTACACACACTATTCATCATTTACTACACATGAATTTACGCGACACACGTGAACGATCTTAAAAATTTGCCTAAATTGAACTCCTTGAGGACCAGTGGGTATCGGATCTTGAGGACTTACAATGTCTTTTGCCTAGCCAATATCATGATTCCATCAATCAAGTAGGCCGGCACTACCTGCAGCATGAACACAATGAAATAGTGCACCAATTTGTTGGTCCTTATCGATCCATTGGGGTACCACAGACCGGCGTCGAATGGATACTCGTATGCGTATCGTTTTCCTTTGGCCAGCACTTCGCCCCAAGTCAGGCGAATGATGTCTCCCTTGGATATATTGTAGCAAGGCACAGTATCGTCGGTTGTATTACTATAAAGATTCAGTGTTTGAATAATTATTATTAGTGATTTATTGAATTATTTATTTGTTCGGTAAATTATTCTACACGGGTACTATAGGGATCAAAATGTTCGATTGGTATAAGTCAAAAATAAAATCTACTTAGTTATCAATGATCATAATATATACAAATGCAACTCTCTAAAGATAAATCCTTGGTTACATATTTAAATCCAAAACCTGTTTGGTTCAAACAACAATAAAATAATAAAGGATCGAGGTACAATTATATTGGAATAGACTAGATTAGACAAGTACATTATAGTAATATATGTCTTCTATGTTATTTTTTTAAATTTTATAATAAGTATTTTATCGTATTTTTGGATTATCTTACATTATCACTTAAATAATCAACATCAAATATCAAATCGTTCTGACAATAAAAACAAAAAAATATATACTTCTCTTAACGCAATCGAAAAAAAACTTATTAAAATATTTATCACCCAAGTTAGCGTATGTTTTTTTTACTCAACGAAGGTAGGTCGTAGGCATATGTGTAAAAGCTCATATAAGTTCCTAAATTCAAGTGCACCCTGAATGCGAATAAGCATTTTTAACTCAAATCTTAATCCTGGCACTAAAATTTCAATTTTTTTAATATTTCATCACATTTTTAAATTAAGTCTAATTTTATTCTAATCCTAGCTATTGTATGTACACTCTACATAATTTGACGTTCATTGATTTTTATTATTTTTATCTAAAATGCAAAACGTACGAATAATTATTATTATAAAACATGTTTGATTATGTACAATTTATACTTATAATGGGTGTTATACGGTAAACCTACATGATAATCAATACATCATGACATAATGTATATTATATTATATACAACTACCCATACATAAATACAGTATACATGCACATGTCTGTGTTCATACGTCCATTGAGGTGGCCCCTTTCCTTAATATAAGTCACTTAAACTAAGTTGTATGCCTTCGAGCGTTTGATGCGCCTGATGTCTTGTGAGTTGTCAAGAAGTTGTTTAGCTGCTGCGTTGATACCTTGAAATCTCGATGGATGAGTTAATTTATGTCAAACTTGTATGCTCCGACTACGGTACCAAGATAAATATTATGACAACGGTGATGACTTCGATTTTGGATTTGCTAATACAACCGCACAATTTTACGCCATAAGTCCAAATTAGTTTGATTATAGTTAGGAACATATAGAAGCCGTTGATTGGCCAGGTAAAGTGCGGAATGCCATGCAACAAGCCAGTATTACTTGCTCATTTGATTCGCATTTTTTAGCGAACATGGTGTTTTTCCAAACCAGGCTTGAATCAAGGTGCATATGACATAGAGGTACCCATTTATTTGGCTGATTCTTCTTGTGGGATTATCGTGTGATTACTGACAACTTGAGAATTTTCAGTTTTATGAAAAGTATAATTCATGAGTACCAACTTATTAATATTAATATCGATTTTCCAAAACCTCGTTCATATTAGAGATCTAGTCGATAGAGGTCTGTCAGTTTTCAGTCACGGCATCTGTTTAATTAGGCACTTGTTGTTAAAATCAACGTGTCGTCGGCAAACATAAAGCTGTAATTGAGTCTTTGTTGGTTGGAATATTAGTTATATACATTATATAAAATATAGGCTAAGACACTACCTTATGGCACTCCAGTGATATATTTCCAATTTTTTATCGCTTCTTTGTGCATTACTTGAAACGGTCGTTCAGTCAGGTGGACCTAAACTTATGTGGATATTATCGCTTGTTTAGTGCCTATAGTGAGCTCTTCGACTGATCAGAATTCTCACATTGTTAGCCGTTTGACTTATAATTAATAATTATAAGAATAATAAAAATAATAATAATAAATAATAATTACTCAATTGTTGTTCTCTTCCAAGCGATCAAAACAAGAGCATTAATCGCAATGTCTACTGGCACAACTTCCGCTTCAAAATCTGCACTGCATAACATGGATCGGATCACGCCTTTGCCGGCAGCCACGATGACTCCTACTGGTCCGTTTAAGCTGTCTACCCATCCGGGAACGGGCTCCTTGAAGGAAGGCGTCACTGTAAGCGTTCAAAAAATGATATTATCTGAACCAATACGTTATAAGGCTGTCATTAATTCAGGCAATGGTGACGTAGCCGGGTAAGTGGGTAATTGAGAAGAGATCGCTTCTGAGTTTCTAATGCTTATATGGTGGGTGGGTAATGGCCAATGGCTAAACATTTATTATTAAGGGGTAATTAATAGGTAATTGAAAATGTGACAGTATATGCCTCTGTACCAGTTGTTCATGAATCATGGCTAATTATTCCAGACATCCAGTGTATGTGCGTGTAGCGTGTGTGTAACGTAAGGTTAGGTTATTTTTTAATAATACTAAATCCATATGAACTTACCAATCGATGGACGGGCCACAGATATTGGAATCCGATTGGCATATTCGCTGACTAACGATTCCGCCAACCTTTTAGAGTACGTGTAGCAATTCGGATGGGGCCCGAGTAATCTGAAATTGATTTATTTTTATTAGTCGATTACCTTTAAATATATTATAACGATAATTTGCGGTTCCGTTTGCTCATAGGTTTAATTACGTTGTTGGAACAATTTGATTTATCTGCAAGTCGTTAATTTTCTCTAACATTGGTCTAAGCCTAACCGGTTCGCCCTGAGGCGAAACAAAAATAAATAATAATAGCCAATTGTACATACAGAGCTGATGAATATAATAAACTGTCATATAAAGTTTCTGAACAAAAAAAACTATCACTTCCGGACAGTTTATGTGACAACATTTAAGTTTTAAGATTTTATGACGCAATGTAAATAAAAACACAAAATTAACTATTCGAATTTATATACGAATAACGTTTTTTGTACTATGCAATCATTAGTATTTAAATTCAATAAACACTTTTATGGTGCATTTAATTTTCTATTCAGAGAGAAGAATTTCGTTATTTTGTGCTTGTCATAGCGTTTGCTTCAACTTTCAACTTTAAGAGTGGTTTATGGGAGCAAATCGGATCTAGTTAGTACTATGGAGAATAATAATATAATAATTGCTTAAATAAATTTGGAAAAAACTAACAATAAACTACCTGCGAAAAACGGGAATATTAATGCAATAAATACCTGCCGTTTATAACAAAATCAATTTTTACTTTTAAATTACTTGAAATGTTCAGCAAATATTCTAATGAGAATTTTCTGTAAAAATGATAATTTAAAAATATTTACACCGTTATTGATTTAGACTTAAGACATTAAAAATTTTTAATTTTAAATTATTTATTTTTATATATATTATATTCAATATTCACACCATTTTTATTTGTAAGTCATTAGTCTTAAAAATGGTATACAAGTTTTCAAAAAAGCTGTTCTAACAAAAATTTTAAAATATCAATCGCACATTATTTCAATTTTTATGAGAGTTTAATATGTTAACGATATATGAATATTAAAAATAATAAAGATTTTTCTCAGTTGATTTTAGTTATTTTGTTGTTATTCAAAATAATATTTATCGTTGTTACTTTCCACCAGTCCGTATGAATATTATTATTTTTCATACTACAATTTTTAAATATTTTTATGAACTTTAAGCTATTTACACCATGGACTTTTTTATACAAGACCTCTTTATGCTGTCAATACGTTGATTTTCAATTACAAGTTATAGGTACTTCTAGGTGTACATATTAACAATAATATATCATAATAATTAACAATATTTATCATTAATTTACACTTTAAAATCAAAACATGAAATGTATGTGGTTTAGTTTAAAAAAAATTTAAACTACGATACTACCAAAAGCATCATAAATTACTTATATTACCTAATATAAATTAATATGCCCCGTCATAACTAGGGGGAGGTGCTAGAGGTGGCTTGACCCCCATCTCAATAGACGTATTTAGCTCACTATGGCTAAAATCTAAATCCTCGCATGATAAAAATACTGGCATGGATTCTATATTGTGTAAAATAATTAATAATAATATATATGTTTACAAATTGTACATAGTAATAAAATAGATACAGTAGTATTGCGGATGCACCAGTACGAGTTTATGTATAAAGAAAATTAAAAATTTTAACTCGACCTTAACACACTGCAAGTACACAACGGATTCGGTAAACTGACTATAATAAAATATACAGAAAAAAAACTATCCAACAACATTATCGATGATGAAATTTAGTAAACATTTACATCTAAATATGGACGTACAGATGAGTTATAAAAAAAAATGTCTTCTTGTTATTTTATTTTTAATGACGAGGGGCTCTTTTCTTGCGTGGTTTATTTTCAACTTTGATTTTCTTGGACTCTAGCTAATTATTAAATCCTAGTAAGTTACACCCATATGTGTATAATATGAACCTATTATAAAAATATCGTTGGAAGTTGTGAGTAGAAAATGTACACCGATTCTGTTCAGTATCGTTTATAGATACTATAATTATTATTTTTTATTACAGAAACAAAGTTTAACACATCCAGTAACTAACTCAATCACGAGGTAGGTACACTTAAAACCTACGATTTAACAAATCGAATTCTCAGCTAGTTTCAAAATTAATAATAAAATACATTTTAGAGAAGACCAACAGTTTCTGTATGAATTTAAAGAAGACGTAATCTGTTATATTTCTTAGTAAGTTCTAGGTTACAAAAAATCTCATTCAATAAGCTACAAAAATACGTGAAATGTATTGCACACTATAGTGACTTCGGTTATGTTGATCAATTTTTGTTTACTTCCAGTTTCTTACAAAATCGTTTTATGAAAGAGATAATCTATCTTAATTATTAAATTAACAACAACAATGATGTCCACGTAAGTCAATACTCTATTTTTTATTTAGTTATCATAAATAATATTTTCGATAATTATTATTTAATTTGAACTAAAATCTCAAAAATAATTAAATGACTAAATTTTTGTTCAATACACTAATTGAATGTACTTTTCATAATGTCCAAGTACCTACTGTTGACATTGAGTTATTGAATACAAAAAAGTTTTGACATTTTATTTTATAACTTAAAATGGATGCCTGCAGGCTGCAGGTGGCATTTTTTTATAAATATATAAATATAAGCGTATAATGTATATTAGTGTATAATCTACATTTTGAGTCACATCTCATAATAATAAAAAAAGTTACGTCAAAGTGTACATTCTAGATAATAAAAAAGTAATCTTTTTAATTTTCAACAGTATTTCTATGCATTAAAATCTTTTTATTAGGAACAAAATGTAAGAAATAAATACCAGTAATCAGCACCTTTATACCTACAATCTACAAATTTATCAAAACCCAGAAGACAAAAACATGTTTGTATGTAATATGTCTGTTGTCGTATGCGAAGGCACATTCGACATTATAATCAGTTACTAATTGTTCATTTAAACATTTTATTCTTATTATTTAAATAAAACCTTTTTTTTAAAATAATATTAGGTACCTCAATAACAATAATATACTGGTCTCTATTAAATAATAAATGTAGGTGATATATTATATCATAATAATATATCTCCGTCAATGACGTGATCAATTCGAATGTGTCCTATAAATTGACTTATTTTCGTAAACGGCAATATAAAGCAAACATCAATCTCCATTACAATGTGGGGTTAACAAATAAGGAGGCGAGACGTATCGAAATAAATAAAAATACAATATACGTTCACCGGCCATGGTAGGCTATACACGACAGTCGAAGTGGCTGTTCTATTCACGAATTGTGTACAATCTTTACCTACGAACTTGTATTATACTATAAACTTAGGTACCACACAATATTTATTATATTACCAATAATGTAAAGAGGTAATATGATATGATAAAGGTAAAGTTAATTTTAACCCTTGCGGTTTAAACTTAATTTGCTTACATTTATTATTAGTAACTAACTTTTAACTTATTGTATTTGTATTGGCATTAACTTGGTAAATAATGAGTTACTTTCAATCTAATGTAAGTTACTTTGATTTATGAATAATTAAATAGTTATTACTAATATGAATACGATTATTGTTGATGATACTTAATAAGAAATTTAATATGCGATTCATAAATATGTATTTCTCGCATTGCTGCTTACTAACCAGAATCCAATGAGTATAATTTATTTTGGATACCATACTGGCATTTAATAATACAGTTGTATAAACAGATATTAGGTAGGCACTATAATAGAGTATAGGTACAACTATCGAAAGAACAAAACATAAAATATTACAGTCACGATGATGTAAAATTATATAAGTAAGTTATTACTTATTAGCTATTATCACTGAATTATTGCTTTCGTTCAATAATGTTTATTATTTTTTTTTTTTGTTATCAAACTATCTAATGTCCTTTTATATATAATAATATATAAAAAATAAAATTTACTTAAGTTGATAAGCTAGTTGTTGGTTTCCATAAAACTTTTAATTTAACTACTGAGTTTAAAAAAGTGAGCTTACTAGTAACTTTAAATTACATTTTTCACTAACAGTTTAACTCAACTTGGTTGGAGAAAACATCGAAAAATCGGTCACACGGCTCGTATATATTACCTAGGCGTGATGATTTCAAGTGTATGATCGTCCATCCATTCGACAGCGCGCATGACGTCCTCCGGGTTGGCTGGCGATGGATAAATAGTCTCGTCGAGAGTGTCATATTCGCAGTGACAGAAAGCAGTGGACAAATGAACGAACGACTAAAAACAACAACATCCAACCACATTCCAAGTTTATAATAATATTGTTGTATAAAATAACAGAAAAATCCCGTCTTTGTCGAAACCAAATTTCGCCGTTTCACCGATGCCAAACGTCAATTGCGTCAAACAATCGTATACTGCAGTAAATTAATATTAGGGATGGCCTATTCTATTTTTACGCTGTTCTATACTTCGTCGGTTTTTTTTGTTTTGCAGACACTTGAATTTACTCTCGCTGTTTAAGCTATGTTTTTTTCCACTAACAAAGCAAAATGTTCGTTTTGTACTTTTACAGTAGTAATACCGAGTCGAATAAAAAAAATAGATTAATTTAACGGACGAACTATGTGCCTCTGAATAATTTTTGAGATAGTATATCCTATAAGCTCAATATTGATATTTAAAATATTATTAGGTTTTAGATCTTAAACATATCGGAGAGTCAGAGTCTTAAAACTAACTAAAAGTGTGTGACAATTGATGTAAGTAGAACATTTCTGACTATTAGAAATATCAGAAAAAAAACTATATATGTTTTTAAAATATTAAAATATGTTTTTATAAATTCCGTAAAAAAAAAATAAAGCTTCTAAACAAAAATTCCTATTTTCTGGTTTAATTTGAAATTTAAATTTTGAACATTTTCACTTACATATGTTTTAAAAGTTTAATTTCTGATTTTTTTGATTTTTTATAACCTTAAACTTACACTCTTATTCCATTATTTTTGGAGAATTTTAAAGTAATGATTGTATTATGCATAGAACTTTAAATTTGAGTTATACACACCCAAAAATAATTCGTTATGACTACGAATACAATATTATGCATTAAGGTGTTCTGAATTTATATAGTCTAACTGTCTAAGTTACCTCCAAATGTTTCATTTCGACAGCCAAGTCCAACACATTCTTCGTTCCAGTGGTGTTGTGTCTTATCGCATCTTTCAGACCAGCTTCCAAACGCAACGACGCCGCCCCGTTAAAGACGATTGACACTTCGTCGACAAGTATCGACTTGTTTTCGTTGCTCAGTCCGAGTCCGGGTAGGCCCAGATCACCTTCCATCGCTTTGATTTTCTTCAGCCTATCTGGGAACTCTGTCCGTACCCGCTCGAACACCTTGAAAAAATCACAAAATTTGTCGGTTACTTACGGGCTATATAAATATGTGGATATTATGCTGCATGTTTATGTGTTTTTTGCTTTTTGACGAATATATTATTTTTCACGAACGTTTATAAAAACACTAATCAGTTCTTATGGCACTTTGTTAATTGAAAAACTCCACTTGAGCGCTGCCTCAGGGGTGGCATGTCAATTGACTGAGTATTTAAGTGTGTATAGGGTGTGCACACAACACTTATTTAACGTCGTTTTCAGTTCAAATTAAATTTAGATTCAGTATCCATTCATTAAGTTAGTAGAAAAAAATATTTAAAGGATTGTGCAAATACTTGAAATGCTTGCAAATTGTATGCTTTTACAGGACTATATTATGTCCTCATTTTCCCTAGTTATGATTTTATGAAGTATAAATGTGTGCTGTGAAGTGGAACTCGAGTCTATTTACGTTTGTATGGGTTTAATGACCCATGTAATAAATAATAATAAACATTTTTTCGAAGGTCTCCTCAACACCCTTATATCTAAGCTATTACACTTGATGGTCGTACTATTATGGCCATAAATTATGAGAGTATTATGACCTTATTTTGCTGGTCCCTGTGTATAATAACAATAATTATTGAATGTTGTTGTAAACAACGATTTCATCCGAGCTTATATATATATATATTATAAACATATTATTATAGTCACTTTTACTTTTGACGATTTTATAATCGGTCGAACATAACGTAAGTGTTATAACACAAACCGTACACCTATTATGATATGTTACGACGATCGTCTTGTGTAAACGTATCTCGCTACACGACCAAACGACCTTACGAAAACGATAAACATTATAATTAATTAGTGTTCTTCGATTATAGGTACCGTTTTAGATGTTACAGGTACCTGATACACACCGAGAACGTAAACATTTTACAAAATTCAAAATAATAATTATTATGCACCGAAGGCCGTTCATAATATTATAATATAATATGTGAATGGTCGAGGGATATGAACCACCCTTCTAAACATATTTTTATGTGCCAATTTCCAATATTTTATAAGTAGCTTCATAATAGTTATACAACAGATGTAATTGCATTTATTGGGCAAGAACAAAAATTATGGACTCCCGCATCTCCTCAAGCTATTCAGATAGATATTCAAAGAAAAAATATCAGAATTAAAGATATATTCAGATCGAGGCCTTGACCACCGCAACAATGAAGAAATGTTTTTTTAGTAATTTTCTAGTACCTACCAGATGCTACCTCAAAATTATGGTACTTTGCCATAGTATTATAAGTATTAAATTTTCTCATGTTATTTATGTTCAAATAAAAACGAAATAATCAACTATTATCTTCAAACATTTAGGTGTAATGCATAAAGTTATTTAGTTATTTAATTAAAATAAAAGCTTACAAATATACATATTAAAGACACCAGATGCCGAAACCAACCAAATTAACACTCAACGACAATTTATACTATGTAAAATAAATGCCACTTAGATAATTTAAAATTTAGCAACATAGAAAATTCATCGTCGTCAATTTCTCATATTTATATTGATTGATATGGAAAATCGGAAATGGTTGAAATAAAATGGAAATATTGTTATTAAAATATATTATTATACTGACAGATTGATGAAAACGTCTATTAAGTCAAGTTTAATAGTTGTAAACAAATACACTACATTTAAATAGGTACCAACAATATTAAGGTTTTATTAGTATTTCTATCGAACATATTGATTTTAAATTTTTTTCCGATGGCCTATATAAAGTAATATTTTATTTTATGCGTTAAGATTTACGATTATCACTCAACTGCTAATTTCCTTATTTGCTCTATCCTGGCCGCCGGGCTGAAACCTCTCTTTGGTCTGCACAGTACGTAAATAGTTTTGATGTCACCGCAGTCCCTAAGCAGCTTCTCGATGAGAACCTTGCCCATGTAGCCAGTACCTCCGGTGATGAACACCGACCGACCGCTGTACCATTCGATCACACTTGCGTTTGTCATTTTATCACCTGTAAAATAAGATATCAGACGTTATTCGATATGTAATGATATTATATAATTGGCGAATTCGTATATTCCAAATAATGACCATTGTACCTGAATAAATAAATATTAATAAGTTTGTGCAATGAGTGAGTGTATATATTCTATTTCATATTAGGACGTAGGTGTAAGCTATAACATAACATTCTAACGATGTATTATTTTCATCTTCAAAATTACGAGCAGTATGCAGATTTTACTTAAATAATATTATTACAATATGACTATAATATTATGCTCGTTTTACAAAGCACGCTCCCGCGGCGGATGTCTTCAGCGAGCAAAATATTACATCTATCTACGGGGAAGTTGAATTTATTACATTGACTATTTTCCGAAATAAACATCAATACTATAATAATAGTGTTGTTCATGGTATAACAAAATAGAAAAAAAATTATGAACTAATGACTGTTATTTTATAAGTTCCACCTATATCATTTTATTATTAAAAATTAAAATATTAGGTAGTTATGCCGGAACAGATTTTAATTCAGACCGTACGAGTTGATACAAACTATGAAAAATTTATATTTCAAGCTTTTAACATTTTTTTTTGTTTATGAACCGAATATGATTGATCCCGTTTTTACTAACCAGAACTTATTAAGCATTACATTAATTTGTTCATAAATAGGCATTATATGAAGTATGTAACAATACAATTTATCATAGACTATATGGTATTACGCAACACATTATTGAATGTAATTGTTATTTTTTTTTGTCACAATTAACAATACAACACTTTTGTTGTAAGAGTTCCCCACGGCTCCTTATTTATTAACAAATAGAAATCGTAAATCTATTAATGCTCATCCAATAGAATTTTCTATTGAATTTTTTTTCCACATAGATAGACTGCACATTGATCCGTATAATTAACAATGCATAATGTGATTTGGAGATGTTTTCAAATTTTGCAATACGTTTTTTTTAAATTCTGAGCTATGGACTTATTGATGTTTTATAATAATGTGTGTGTTTTTCTCATCAAATTTTAGAGCAGTAAAAATGATTATGTTTTTACACATTATCGTTTTTTTTTTTTACTAGCATTTCAAGTTCAACGAAGTTTGATAATTAAACGAAGAATACAAATTTTAGTTGTTTGTTGTAAATCAAAAATATTTTTCTTCGGTTTTGAAACTTTCTAGAACATTTTTATGCTATTGTCTATTTATACCACGAACCTTTTTACAATATTTTACACGGTAAGTCAATATTAACTCAAAAATTAAGAAGAATAATACATGATAAAAATATATATATTATTACTATAGTATTATTAGATAAATAATACTATTAAAGGCAATAAGTTAACATAAATAATATAATAAACTCAACGTTTTCGGAAAAAAAAAATTAAATTTACAGTATTACTATAAAAGTAAAATAAATTACCATATTATAGTATAACAATATAACTAAATCTTAAAATACTCATAGTAATATGTACTGTGACAGATTGTCTTCACTCAGAACCGTTTTTCGTATGCAATGATTTATTATTGAGTTTAAATTTAACACATACATTACTTCCTGAATGATAAAGGTACACTTGATAAAATATGCTATACAGTAGAGTGTCAAAGTGGTTACCTACTTTGCCCCTTTTGAGAATTCAATATTTTATGTTAAAAAAATAAATAGTCATTTTATAATGTGATTCACTCATACACTGATACAGTGATACTTATATGATGTATGTATGTAAAATATATGCACATTATTTTATTTTTCGATCTAAAACTTTTATCACAATGTTATTTTATGAAATACATACATAGGCACAGTATTATATAAAATAAAAGTTAGTTAAAATAAGCTTATTACCTTAAATCTATCAAGTGAGAGTTTTTTTACAAATCACATTTTACGTTGATTTATATTGGTCTAAACATATTTAGTTAGAATATTATTAAGTAATACTAATTTTTTTTCATAAGAAAATTATATTGGTAGGTATCACATTGCTATAATATGGGTGTTTATTGTACGGATTACTGTTGGGTCAGTACTCAGAAGTCAGTGATGAATATTGTATGGGATGTGGCTGTGTTATAGGAAATTGTATACGTATTACAATGTTTCCGTGATACAATGCTGCACTGCAGTTGAACACTATTCAAACGCGCCTTATTCTGTGCCATCTATTATACATTCATAATTTGTCCAACGGTGTTGTTTTTTAAACAAAGTTTGAAATAAACTAAAAAATGTCACCGAATAATTGTAGATCGACTTTCGCCAATTGCAAATCCTTTTTCGCATTTATGTCATATGAATATAATTGTACACGCGTAGTACGGAATTTCGGATAATGACAAATCAAACCGTAAACAAGCCGCTGTAAACAGTTGCAACGATGAGGAGAAAGTACAAGAACACGGTTTATTTAAGCGTACCTACCTACCATGGGTACCCTACCTGTATAGTATAGTATATAATATAATGTCGAACACGTGTGCAACGATATTATAATTATAATGATTACAAAACGAGCGCTGGTCGTAAGTATTGAATAAAAATAAGAAATAAAAACGGTACTTTTTCGTATATAAACTGAGTAATTAGGCACCGCGCGAGTGATTACAAGGACGATAATATTATTATTATTTATTATTATATCATAAGCACGTGTGATGGAATGCCGAGAAAATTATCCAGTAAACCTGCCAAGTGTTCGGATGAAATAGAACGTGACAGATAATATGACGCCATTGCGCGATTATTAATGCTTTTGCAGACCGCTAAAGCATTGTTTATAATAATAATAATAACAATAACAGAGTTATATTATTAGAATAGGTACCTGAAATGCGGTGATTGCAAATATTTCTGCCCCTCTCCTTTTTTTCACTTTGATTCAATCAATACAATAATTACTATATTATTATTATTATATTATTCGACTTGATACCAATTATGGAATAGTTATTAATTATTATAATAATATCATAATATGATATTATAACTTAAATTAAATAAGTTACGTTGTATTTAATTATACATATTTTGTTGAAATTAATATTATGAATTGTGATGTTATTGTGTTGCCGCTTTTCTAGGCATTTCTTGTCTAGATTGGAAATTTGTCAACCGTTTATAATTATTCGAATGATACATTTTTTTTACTTTAGATATTAAAATTAATGTTTTAAGTGTAATGTGGCGTTGAACACTGTACCTATGGACACAACTTAAAACAGTATCGGTATGGGCCATTCGGAGGAGTTTGGATAAACATATTTCAAATTTCAATATTGGAGGCCATATGGAAAAATGAATATTTAAAATATTTAAATCTTTTATGAGTTATAATCTGTAAGTTATAATCTAGACATTCCGAATTATTTTCGAACTAATGACGAAGTCTGGTTAACTCGACACATACATTGCATTATATTGCATATATTAATATCATTCGAAAACGTTCTTATACTGAAGTGTAAACAAGTTAAATGTAAATGAGTGTCTTAAAAATTTTAAAAGTCTAAATTAGATCTTCAATAATTCGACAACAGATCCTTTAACTAATTAACTTGTCTGTTTGTTGAAGGAGAAATCATTGAATTAATAAAAACAAACAGTAATATTGATATATTAGGATCTTCCAATAATTGTTTAAAAAATAACTTCTATTTTAATAGTAATTTATTTAATATAAATTATAATATTTTTTATGTTTATTATTGTGTACTGATTTTACAACGATGTGAGTTTTTTATTTATTTTTGTGTCTAAAGGCACTTTCTCCAATAGAAAAATGCTCCAATCTTAAACTTTGAGTATGAGGTTTCTGGTTAAAAGTTGTATCTAGTTGGTGCTTTGAGGAGATAAAAATTGAAAACTAATAATCGGGAATCACAAAAAAAAATATTTGTTAAAAATATTATTATTAAAATAATTGTGTTGTGACATTGATTACCGAAACATTCGACTGCCATCACTCAAATACGGTTTTCATCGTATACAATGATTTATCATTGAATTCAAGTTTAAAAAATGCATTACAGTGACCATTGAAGAGGTACACTCCTACTATACAGTACTGCAGTCTCCTACTTCACTGTTTTTTTCTAAGGTTTTCACCCGTCAGGGTACATAACAATGACTTCCTAGGCCCTTAAATATAGTTTAAGTACGTAGTAAACTAGTACCTACTCATGAAAGTTACAGGAAGAAAGAACAGGTACATTACGTATATTATAAAAAAATCCATAATATTTCTTGAACTCGTATATAAATCAGATATGTAGTTAACTATTTTTACCCGAATCTCATCCCAATTCATAATTTATGATTTTTCAAAATCAATATGAGATATTATCCGTCTTGAATATTTTCGAGAATTTTAAGAATTGGTTCAACTACAAAGTGCGGGATTTAATTATATTTGCATCTCTTTCTTCCTCTAAGAATTAAAAAAAAAAATTCTCCAAAATACGCCATCGACCACGTGTGAGATAAATAAAATACACCCATACAATTTTGTAGCATTGCTTTTGAAAACGCCCAAAACCAATTCGAGAAGAAACACCTACCTACTTAACTATCTAGATTCGAGAAACGGTAAGTGAGCACTGAAGCAAACTGGCCTATTTAATGTGGAAAAAATAAGTATAGGTACACAATATACTAAGAGAGTAAAACCAAACATTTGTATTGGATTCTGATTAATATGTTTATATTATAAAAATAACAAGAATAAAGATTTGACCCACAGATATTAGCATTTATTATATTATTTATTTAATAGAATATAAATTATAATCAATGGTGTTTAATAGTCATTAGAATATTAATTGTTCCAGATGCTGTACATTTTAATAAAATAATATTATTATAACACGAATTGATTATCTATGCACACTTTTTTCTATTAAAGTTACCCATCAATTGTTTACAAGAAAATTGTCAATGATAAAATGAGTGAAGTCAAGCAACAATGGAGCAGTAGGTA